AGAAGATTTTAGACATATTTGCGTTTTAGAAGAGATGATCGCTTTCTTAGGTAAATAGAAATATTTAATTTGTGATATTTATATTTTGAAGCACTGAAACTTTAATTAATTTTGAAAATCAAAGTGTTCATATAACTTGTGAGCAGCAATGCCACGCAGTAGTTGAACTGCATAAATTGGATAATATGGAAATCGTGATGATTAGGCTGCCGGATATTTGTTCACTTACAGAGAATTTGAAGCTCCAAAAATAATGCTAAAACATGCGAAAATATCCAAAATATTGTTACTTGTTATAACATTTGGTTTAAGTTCCATTTATTTTAACTATATTTGCAAAGATATGATTTCGCATAAGAATGCACTATTTAACGATTTTTCCTAAATTCATCTTAGAAATTGTTATTATTTCTGTCTTCTAGCGATACATGTGGAACTTAGAGATTGAATATCAATATAAATCTATACTTGTGAAATTAAGAAATAGATGGTATTGATGATTTGATAATTAGAAGTGGAACAGTATTGTAAAGTTTAGGTTACATGAAATGTAGATAATTTTTTTTTTTTTTCATTTTTCAAAGACGTACATATATTGAACGTAATGTTCAGTAGGTTTGTAGTTTCTAACGCAGCAGCGTCATACATGATGAAACGCAGTCTGGAGACCAACTCCGAGAAGTTGATTCACCTCGTCGGGCTTCGTCCAGGGTCAAGGCTTCTGACCGCTCTCGATTTTACCTACCTGCTCTCAGGTAGAAGCTCGAACAGGTCCTCGAGACCAAGATTCTATATCCTCTGGCCAATGCGCCATCTGTATAAAATATCAAGTCGGGAGGAAAGTTCTATCCAACGGCAACCGAGTCGTTTCATCAATTTTTAACACCGCGTAACGGAAAGTTTGCTGATTAAACTTATCTCATTGAAAGTTCACCTCGAATGATTCTCCAACTGTTAAACATTCGAATGTTCCCTTTATGTTCTCAATCGGAAAGCTCTTTGAATATATTTCCGGTGGGAGAGAGATTGTTAGCTCTGCAGAAAGATACTTTTAACATTCTTATAATATAAAAGTAATATTCTTAAAAATAAAATATAATATAATATAATAAAAATAATATACATATATAATTCGTTAATATTATAATATATTTATAATATAAAAATACTTTACGTAATAATATCTTTTTTTCCTTCTTCTTGAAATGACGAATATTATTTTGATTTGTATCTTGCCCATCAACAGAAGTGAAATTCACATTTAACTGCCTAATTATCCAGCTGCCAGCGTTAAATATCCTCGTTAATTAGCCAATTACATTCCCGATCCGGTTAAAACGGTGGCCGATCGCTACGAGAAAAATCTGCCGGCGAATCGGTCGTTTGTCACCGTGAATCAATTCCATCGATCGCAGTGCCCATCGCGCGTCCCTCCGTCATGATTTACACTGGCCATTTGCCCGCTTCCGGAGATTCATTCTGTGTCTCGGTGGCAGGATCGTGCAACGACCCTCCCTCTCCCTATGTCCAGGCCCGGGTCCTGGCCGCTTGTCTTTTCGGGAAATTTGTCGCCCTCGACCGCAGCCAATTCGCAGCTCAGCTGCACCCGTGAAATTTACGAGCCGAGTATACGCGACAGAGAGCTGCGTGACACGACGTGGGCTACTGTTTCTGCTGGTATCTCGTGGAAGGGCGAGGAAGGGAGAACACAGCGGTAGTCAAGATCCCCGGTTATCTCGATGTCTCGAGGACAACAACGCCACGAAAAGGAAAGAAAAGCAGTTAGGCGACACACAGAGGCTTCGAACCTCGGAGTGGAAGAAGAGAGTCGAAAGGTCGACTCCGAAACGGATACACACACGCAAGTTCGTGAAAGGGCCTTTCTATTAGTACCCCTCGGCTTTTCGGCTACGAGAGAGAGAGAGAGAGAGAGAGAGAGAGAGAGA